TTACGAACGAAAATTTAACGCTGTCCAGAACGAAGGCAGTTTATTCAAGTGACTCAGCACTTTAAGGGGAACTCCTTTTCACACTACTGCTGAACATCGTGCTTGAAGTGCCGTTCGGAGCGAGACAGAAGGCTTTACCATTCGGCTAAGAATAAGTTCCAGGTACCCAGCGATGTACCTGACGGTCTTGCGGTGTGCGTACGCCATTGTTCTGGTGTTCTACTCATTGGGTAACTTGGAAATCCCTGCTACCAGTGTATAAATATGACAGAAGAGATTGAGCTACGAGTCAACCCGACAAAAATAAAAATGATTAGGACAGCAGCCGTAACTGACGCTTTGGAGAACAGTTATAAGACAGTGAAGGAAGTTAACCAGTTTAAGTACCTGAAATCAAGCATCGCGAACGATAGAAGCTGTGACTCAGACATTAATCGGCCACTGAACTTTCTGCAGCAAAGTTTGCGAGGCTGCACTGAGTCTGAAAACACCGCATTCTATCGATGGAAACGAAGGTTATCATCTTGAAAGCAGCGGTCTTCTTTCTTTCATATGACCTCTGCAGGCATGGAACCCCGAAAACAATGTTAGCATATTCTGTTGGAAGCTTGTCTGCTCTTGATAAGGAACATATTCTTCGTCGAATCGGTTAGTGCTTAAAGTAACCCAAAGACTTCCTTCCTGCATGTCGTACATCATTAATCCTGATGGAGCTGTTAAGCTGCTGCTTTCCAAAGCTCGATGACGAACAACCGAACCGATCATCGTAAAGCGCAGGATTAGTGAGAGCTGTTTAAGTCAACCATAACTGTTTCAGCCTCATCGTTTTGCGGGCTAAAGCGGTTAAGTATCGCAACTAACGGCAAGGAGTAACCTCTCTCGTGAAAACTAGGTTTTCGAAACGCCGTTGGAATAAGGGAAACCCTTATTCAGAATAGTTTGCGAAGTGTGATCCTCGTCTTTATTGCGTTTTCGATGTACTAAAACTTGCAGTGCTTCAGCAGAAGCAATGAAAAATGCAGAGGCAGGGGTCTTGGCAATTCCTCCTTGAGTATCTGAACTTTGTCTAGTGATGGACAAACAGATTCTTTTTGCGTGCTATCATCCCTCTGCATAAGCGAAGATTATGTACCACCGCAGTTGTGAATGGCTCATATGGAAACTTTCTAACTAATAAGAAAGATCATCATCATCATCATCATCTTCCATCGCCGCTTCTCCTTTCGGGTCGCGGAGGCAGACGCGTC